ACTGACCACCTCCAATCCAGCCCTCTCCAGCTCTGCGATGTACTCCTTCTTGTCAGGCAGGTCGGGACAAGAAACAGACTCCCGGAGCACCTTCAGAGTCTTGTCATCCAGCGTCTGGCGCGCAAAGAAGTCTTCAATGTAGACCCTGCCGCCCGGCTTGAGCACATCATGCGCCTTGCCGAAGAGCGCCTCCCGCTCGGGAATGTGCAGGATACACAAGAAGGACACAATGTGGTCCACCGGCGCGCCCATTTTCTCCGGAGAAAGCTCCAGAAAGTTACCATTGATTGATGTGGCGCTCCCGCCGGCTCCAGACCTGACATTGATCGTTTGCGCAATCTCGTGAATGTCCCCCTGTAGTTCGATGCCAGTGGTCTGCACGCCGTAGTGCCGGTAGAGGTACCTTCCCGTGCCTCCGAATCCGGATCCGATATCCAGCACCCGGTTCCCGGCCTTCAGACCGAGCTCTTTGGCGGCGTTCTCGATGGCCTCGTCGCCAAGATAATGCATGCAATCAAACCCCTTGGTGTCTTCCGCGTCCCAGACGTCCTTCTCCTTGAGACTCTCAAGCGTGCGGTGAACCCGGTTCAGCTTGTAGAGATTCATCTCCGGGACGTCGGAGGCTAGCTGTGCGGAGGGCGACATTGTGGTAGAGCGCGGGGGATGGTCCGCGTCGTTACAATTTCGGGAACCTCGCTTTCGGGTTCCTCGCTCGGGAAGTTTAATAGTCTGTAAAGGCGTAGGGGAGATAACCCTGGGCGGCGAGTTCAGTATTCGCCGTATTCGCCTGTTTTTGGGCTTTATTGGCAGGTGCCGACACGGTCAGACGCTGGCCTGGAACGCTCTTTTGGCTTTGGGTCGCTCAAGGTATTGTGTTTCGATGGCAGTAGCAAGTCTTGGTCGGGTGTTGTTCCTGGTAGCGTTTTACCCCTCTCGTACACGAAGCACCACAGACGTCACGGTGTTCTCTCTAGGGATGCCGCAGTAGCACGTCCCTCTCCAACAATTAGAGTTTCATGCTAGGAGAAGAGGGCTTCGACTAGGACAGGTGAGACGCGAGCCTTTATGAGTGCTGACGTAGTGTGACCTTATCGTAAGACAGTTGGGTTTTATTGGTTACAAGCTCGGTATCGCTTGGCATATGTATGTGTTATCGAGACATGGACTTAATCAACGCCACTCTAGAGAGTGGTGATGCCGCGGCCCACTGACATGCAGCGTGCATGATCGTTGATCCTTCCAGAAGTTTTGAGAATGGGGCAGACGAATTGCTTTTCGGTTGAGTGATCGGCATTTCGACCGGTCGCGGGGTTCGGTGAGTTATGCCGGCTGGATCAATTCATATCTTCAGTGTTGGCTTCTGGTACTCATTTCCAGTCGGCTCAATTGAATTCACGTTGAGATCCAATCTTGCCAATAAAGCCATAAGGTCTATTTCAGGAAATAATGCGCATACTTGAGTTGAGATAGTGGCACAAAATATTGGATTGTATGACAGAGAACAGTCCGATTCTGGTAACAAAGAGCCTTGTGCACAGTACAATGGACATGGCACGTCATCAGGCATCCACATTTGTACGCATATGTCTTATGTTGCTCGGAGGTGTTTGTGATTCTTTTAAGGCTGGAAACATCATGAAATGCTCGGGGTTCAGCGTGGGTTATCTTGAGTGTTCCCTAGAGGGTGGTGGGTGTAAATGATGCGTAGGCTGGTGATCATGCTCGTCGTCAGACAGAACTCTCGAAAGTATTACTTACAAAGCTCGGCCCAGTGTGTACAACGTTTTTGGAACTCAGCACATCGGAATGCTTGTTATGAACCTTTATCTTTTGGCCTGCCATCAATAATTTGACTTATTCCAATTTACCATACCCAACCACTGAGATCTGTCTTTCGTTGTTTCGTCCGTCTTCCTATTAGCGCCCTTGCCGAGACTCCTGAATTGACTGTGCATTACTCTTGTGAACCTCTTCATACTGAGCGAAGTAGATCAGATCCCCCTTGGCAACATCGTCAGCTACAACTTGCGACAGAGGCATAGTCCAGGCTGCCGGCTGTGGCACGTCTTCAGTCATGACGCCGATGTATCGCAACGTTGCGTTGATGAAAGTCGAGTTGTAGCCACCTGCAGCGATTCGGTTCGGTTCTCCATGAGCTGGAAGAATCTTTGATATCTGGAAGCCAGCCATTCGCTGGAGTTCTTTCTGATGGGTTGGTAGGTCTCGGGGTTGGGCGATGAATGTCGCTGTATCTTCTAGAGTATCGCCAGCGAACAGCAGTTGCTTCGATGGAATATAGAGAACAGTTCCATCTGGAGTGTGAACTTGGAAGTTGTGAAGCTCAACCGTCAGATTCCCAACCTTCAGCTCCTTCTTGTCGGTGTACAGATCCGTAGGTGACACGGCCGTGATGGGTGGATCGTCAGTTGCTAGACGCTGCGAGTTGCGATCGACAGTGCGCTTCGTCTTCTCGTTGCCTACAATGGTCGCCCCTCCCTGAGCGAACACATTTGTTCCCGCAATGTGGTCATTGTGAAAATGGCTTATCACAACAGACATTTTGGTTACCCCCTGGCTCTGAACGTGACGCATAACCGCGCCAGCATGATCGGGAGTGATGTGTGCGTCAAAGATGATGGCCTCATTGCCATTAATGATGGAGTATGTCGATACCCCCAGCGTGAACGCCCCATCATCCAACCAGTTTGGCTGATCTGAGTGGAAGCGTTCTCCCGTCCGTCCATCATAGTAGGCGAAGATACCAGGATATGGGTTCAGGATGCGGAGAGACTGCAGCGGGTCTCCCGTTCTCGCCCTGCTCGCGCTGGATTCGTCTCAGAACATGCTTTCTGTAGCCGCCATCTCGCCAACTTACAGCAGTGATGACGCGTCCCGTGGTCCCAGCACATGGCGTCCTGCAAGCCCACACGCGCTCACCAGGGCAGAAAAGCTCAGAATAACGATCTGCTTGGAATCAGTATAGATGCAACGGATTGACGAAGGAAAATTGCCTACTCACAGATAACATACTGATGTCTTGGTGAGGTTCAAAAACTGGAAAGAGAACTTCAGGAAGACCAACACTGCTCTTCAGGCCCTCGATCAATCGGTGCCACGTACTGTGCTTCGTTATTCCGACCAATACGCAACATCAACACCGCAAAACGGGCTCAGAAATGAATCAAAGGTCGTCATTTGGAGCTTTGGATTACTATTCTGGCCTTTATGTACTCTCTGCGGTAGAATAGCTGCATGAAACGGTCTGAAACGCTGACCGAACCTGCCGGTTGACGTTTCATCTGATGTGAAGTCGCATGCCAGCGAATACTTTAAGCTTATTGATTGCCGCTTGAACTGAAGCTCGGACATGGATTGATTTGTCGAATGACAGACTGAGTGGCTATTCGATTTGCTACGTTCAAACAGAATGGGACCTGACACCTCTCCGGACGATTTGAACGTTACTGAGCCTCCCCCCTGGGTATTTAGACCAACAAAGCGCATACTGCTTTGGACCTTGAAGAATCTTTGTCGAGCTATGAAGGGCGGGCCTAAAAGATTGACACGGCTACCAAGGCTATTGTGGCAACGTCCATCTTGCTGGTTTAAAGCCAGAGCTTTTTTTCATTCCCAATGATTTAGCCAAATCACAAGATTTCCAATACTCACTGTATCGGAAGGTGTGACATATTTGCAAATATGTATTGGACGGTTCTGCTTCGAGCCTCCGCAGTAATAGAGCGGAGCCTCATGGCAATGGTAGGAAACAAAATTCGGTGAAATGCATTTGAAAGCCATGAGTTCAAGGCCAAACCAATAGGAAGTGTACAAAAGACTTACCTCTTTAGCCCTGAGGTTTGGGGATGCGGTACATGGTGGAATGACCTTGGAACATCGAGAAGACTGTGTCCATCTTCGCCATCTGAGCAAGAGCCTAAGGCCTAGCTTGAGTCGACACACCTTGAACCCGGCTTTACAAAGATTGAATGGGTTTCAGTGATCTCGGCCTGCTTGTCCCCACGCATGTGAATCCTTTACGGCGAGAAGACCTCCGAGCGTGCAACATAAAATATCTTCAGGAGCTTTAGAAGATACATGTATTCATCTATTGCTTGACTAATATGGTTTACATCAAATTTGCATTTCCAAACAGGCCCCTAGTCGCCTTTCGATGATTACTGCACTTGGCTTTGAAGGTGATGGCGAACCAACGCAATGAACAAAGGCAAGTCTAGATGAACTTTCGACGTTCCTAGACGCTCGCGGGAACGTGTTGGGCGTTGCGGAAAGCGTCGCGTGAATAGATGGACGCAAGTCTTGCGAAGCTGTGAGCTTGCGACCTACAGACGGCCAAAACATAGCCTTGAAGACTGAGCGCTTTGAGCGAGGGGTCCCGGGGTAAACCAACTATCGCGCGCCGAAATGAACTGATGCAAAACTACTTTGTGTAAAACGAAAGCTCTGGTAATGATATCTTCGCGTCAGAGGCTTGGCCTCAAAATTCATGCTCAATTGAGTTAGGCAGCTCTAGTCAGCTACTGATCATCAGACACGCTGGCGCTGATCCTGAATGGAATTTGACATTCCGTGACGGCTTTCAGAAATAAGCAATTACGGCTCCTCTGAGACGAGCGGCTGTAGCGAGCCCTGCCCCTGATCATGCGCTAGAAATAGGCCAGCTTACTGCTAGTGTCGGGTAAGACCCAGGCAGCCGCCAAAAGAATGTTTGGCTGTGCGAAGGATCAAACGGTGCTTGGGTAGCTTACCCGAACTTGGAGTAGTGCTTATCCTGCACTGCAACCTCCAAGCTTCCACTGTGGCGATGACATCCGTGGTCTTACGGGGCTTGGCTGACTTTAAAGCAGAGTTGCCCCCGGTATTGGGCCTTTCTGGCAGGGGCTGAATGGGCTGGACGGGATCGATCTCTTTTGTCGATAGACTTGCAGCAATATATCCTCGGCGTCAGCTCCCGGCGGCACAGCAAAAGGCTTTTTTTCGCGATGAACCAGGGAGACCACATCAGGCGCAAGCCTACTCCGTCCTACGTGCCACCACTGGGGTATGATGAAGCCCTGTTGCTCGCTTCGGCCGATACTCAAGTCTACGACTGGAGCCCAGAAAACAACACAGGGGCACAATCTTCGGGAGACCACCGCCAAGATAGGCAGAGCAAGGAGCCAAAATCTAGCACCACATTCGGGACCCATGAAAGCGAATACGAACTTGTCAAAACCAGCAGCGCCGAGAAGAATAAGGAGAGGTCAATACGCAGAAAACGCCCAAGATTCTACATCTTGCGAGGGTGGTGGCAGGAGATCGCGTGGTCTATCATCAGCCTCATATGCGTCATTGTGCTGATCACTTTGTTGAACTCCTACGATGGCAGACCGTTGCCAATTTGGCCATCAGGTCTGACGCTCAATACTGTCATCGCCTTTGTGTCGACCATCTGTCGGACTGCTTTCATCTTACCGGTTATGGAAAGCCTGTCGCAATACAAGTGGAATTGGTACAAGAAGTCGCCGAGACCGTTGGCAGATTTTCGCGTCTTCGACGAAGCTAGCAGAGGACCTTGGGGAAGCTTGAAGTTGCTGGTCACAACGAAGGGAAGGTCAGTATCTTACCTTATCTTGTTGCTTCCGAACAATACCGATCATATAACAGAATCATAGGTATCATGTCCGCTGTTATCCTCGTATCTGGAATTGCTACGTCGACTTTGACTCAGTCCGTTGTCACATATCCAACTCGACATACTGTTTTGCCAGCAAATGACAGTGCGTTGACAATGAGAAATGATGGATACTTTTGGGCAACAGCAAACGGCAATGCAGTTCGTGACTTGTGTTCTACCCCCTGTCATCCTTTGACGAACTAACAGATCACAGGAGACATCATGTTTCCCATCAATCAGGCTATCCCTCGAGCCCTGAACACTCCTCCAGATGAAGTGATGCCGTATCATCTACCTAGCTGCCGAACCAACAACTGTACATGGCCAAGTTTCAGTACTCTTGCTGTTTGCGTGGACATGAAGAGTTCGTACTATTCTCGGCATATCACCGACTTACATGCATGCTTTAATCGGGACTAACGTACAAGGCAGATGTAACAAGTCTTCTCACAACAGACGGAGATCCCATTAAGGCCGGCACAAATGCAACATTGCCCAACGGCGTGTCGATGCAACGAAGTGCTTATGGGTATCACAGCATGAACATTTCCACAGGCACGAGTCTTTCGTACAACGATACGGACATCATCAAGGCAGAGCTCTTCAACTTCTTTGTTCTCTACGGTCCTGCCCCCATACAACTTCGAGCGTATGAGATCGTGATGCACTGGTGTGTCAATACGTACAACGTAACAGTTCAGAACAATGTGCCTATAACTCAGCAAGTGGCCTCATACACGAAGCCCAACCTCGGAGAGGTCTTCGTACAGAACTACAATATGACAATCAACGGCACCTATCTGACGTCGCCGGACAGTCCCGGGAAGCAGTACGTTGCTAGTGGTATGGGCCCGGACAACATAGCGGGGGCTCTATCAAACACATTAGTCGGGTATTACATCGATCTGGGGGCTTACACCTTTAACAACGGCTCGGAGATATACGGAACAGCTCTCTCAAGAGCAGCTATCGGCATCAACCCATTGAACGAATCGCAGATGAATCTGACTCAAAACATCGCAAGCGGACTTACAAACGCGTAAGAGCTCTTGGCAATAGCACATCTATGGTCAAAGGCTCACAAAAACACAGGTTGCTTACTACGAATGAGAGCGGGAGTGCTTGGCAAGACGAAGTTTTTGTGTCCATCCGATGGCCGTGGTTGACACTGCTGGCGGCCCAGGTTGGACTTTCAATTATTACGCTTCTGATTATCATCATTCAGACTGCTGGATTGGACATCGAGATTGTCAAAGGGTCTCCACTCCCAGCATTCCTTGCTATGAACCCCGACGAGAAGACCGCACTCATGAGGGAACAGCAGGAGATGGATATTGTGGGAGGTCTCGAGAGACGGGGCGAAGAGTGGGTCCTTCGAAGTTCGGACACATGACTGTAATGTGTATATGTAATAGTGAATGCTTATAATGACCATGAGACTCAAGATCAAATGCATCTTTAAAACTAGTAACCCGCGGTTGTCGAGCCATGATCGCGAATGCGAACCGAAATGGCGAAGCTTGGCCATGTCTATGCAAACTTGACACCGTTCCTCAACGTTCCGATATTCGTAATGCTGACTTCCATTCTGGATCCAGGTAGGAGCCACTTAGGGGGGCTCAAGCTCCCTCCAACTCCTTTGCGGATTCCTCACATCAGCATCTAAGGGGGGCCCAAGCGATGATTTCCTAAACTTACCTCCAGGTGTCCCAGTCATTATGACCGAACCTTTCTGCAGTGTGGTGCCTGAAGAAAGGTATGAAATAAGATAGGCGCAGTCAAATAACAGATCCGAGATCATCTCCTTCTGCCTTTCTTCCCCGTCGACAGTCGTGCGTAGGAGCAGAGCTTTGGGATCACCAACTAAGTCGGGCCTGACCAAACAGGGTCCAAGGGGGGCGTAAGTGTCGAAACCTTTAGAGAATCCCCATTGAGGCACATTGCCAGCGAACGCAGGATCGCGCTGCAGTTTCCGAGATGACACGTCGTTGCCGCAAGTGTAAGCGGCAATGAATTCGAAGGCTTCTGACACTGCCACGTCCTTCGCATCTTTGCCAATGACTATGCAAAGCTCACCTTCATAGTCTGCTTGGTCGTTTTGGCAAATCTTGGGAACAATAACATCGTCTCCATGATCAAAGACCGTAGTGTTTGGTTTGAAGAAAATCGAGGGAAAAGGTGGCGGCTTACGGCCAGCTTCTTTGACTGTAATGGAGTAAGTCAAGACTGTCTCTCTTGAAACGAGGATGGCTTACTATGAGTGGCGTAGTTCAAACCAACACATCTGAGGATTGGGACATCTTCCGGGGTCAAGGGCCCGAGCAACTTCTTCACTGTCACGATCTCGTTGGTGACTTGAAGTTGGCCTGTGGTGTCGTATATATCGAAGCCTTGAATGACCTTTGCCTGCAGTTTGGTGTCTTCAGTGGTGTTTCCGAGATCAAAGTCATCATTAGGTAAGATTGGCTCTCCTCGAAGTATTCTTCCGTCGTCGGCGACGAAACGAATAAGTCTTTCCCAGGGCACGTGCATGTCGGGAATAGAGATTGGCGCTTTTGTTCGTATTGCTTGAACTATCGTGCAGAGTAGCAGTGATATTATCAGCGAACAAGACTCCTCGCTGGCTTTTGAGACGTGGTTCACCGTCACAAACTGCCGTTATCGGGGGACTGTGGCACCGCTGTCGGTGTTGAGGCTGGCAATACCGGGCGGGGTTAGAGCTAAGTCCCCGACCCGTCGATTGCCACCAACCGAACCCAGCAGTACGGCTTTCAGGTCTACCAAGAAAAGGAGATTAGGCGGTCGTTGAATCCCCGAGAGCATAATGCGGGGAAAATCATGCGGTTCCCAGTAAAAGGTCTGTCGGGGAGATAATGGGTTCCTTCGAAATCGACTAGCATATTGGGGGAAACTGAACCACATGACACCTGATCCACATCGGCAGTTCAACTGAGGCGATGACTTCCTCATATGAAACTAGCTGAACTGAGACGGTGCGGAGGGTAAAAGTTCACAACAAGGCATCATCATCATTCTAATTGGAAGCAATCCTGTCGTCAACGGACATTCAACGCCGACTACTGTTCATTGCAAAATGTCTTCTGTAACAGAGCTACAGACAGTGCCTCCGAAGACGACGTCGTTGAAGTCGCTGGGCTCAACACCTGAGTCGCTTTCGTTGAAAGACCATGCAAAGGGCAACGCGACTCGTGCCCCTGTCAAAGGCTCGAGCAACTGCCACATACCAACCGCACCATCGTACCCATCCAACTGCCTTAAGTTTCTCCGAACGCTGGAAACCGAGGCGGGCGTTGTCAGTGATGTGGCTCAGGCTATCGTTCCTCTAGATGCTCTTATTGTGGGTGCTGGGCTTGGTGGTCTGGCAACCGCAGTTGCTCTTGCTAGGAAGGGACACAAAGTGACTGTTTTAGAGCAGGCTACGCTTCTCTCAGAGGTAAGAATAAAAGACAAGCGAATCCCTCAAAGATGGAACATCTAATAACTCGGAATAGGTCGGCGCTGGCATCCAGATTCCACCTAACTCGAGTAAACTTCTTCAGCGATGGGGAGTCATGGATGTCATGGCCGAGCAGGCGGTTCGACCAGACGGAATCTCTTTTCGACGATGGGAGAACGGTGAGCGCATTGGGTTTACCGACCTGTCCCAAACCTTTGTAGAGCTCTGTGGCGCTCCGTATTACGTAGCGCACCGAGCCCATCTTCACTCTGCACTGTACAAGCGGGCGCTGGACCTTGGAGTCACCGTACGCCTTGACAGCAGGGTTGCCAACTACAATCCTCTGGCACCAACTGCTACGTTGTGCAACGGTGAAGTCGTCTCTGCAGACATCATCATTGCAGCTGACGGTAAGTGTCTTGGTCATTCATTTACTATATTCACGCCATTCAACACTTACCCTGACAAAACAACGCTTGAATAGGAGTCAAATCTGTTGCTAGGGATCTTGTACCCTATGGTGAGGGACATGGACCTAAGTACACTGGCTTTGCTGTATACAGAGCCACGGTCGATGTCAGTAAAATGCGAAAGATTCCCGAAATCTCATGGCTTTTGGAAAAGCCGGGTCTCCACGTGTGGTATGTCAACGGTTCGATAGACAAACTGCGTCAACTCTATGTCGCTGACAATGAGATACAGGATCGGAGAGGATCGCCACGTCATGACCTACACAATCGCCGCTGGAGAGTCATTCAATATGGTGCTTTCTCATAGGGACTGTCGAGACCCTTCGACGTGGCAACAAAAAGGCCAGACCGATGTGCTTAAAGAGATGCGGGCCGAGTTTCAAGGCTGGGACAATCAGTAAGTGCTGGTGGTCTCTTTTATCTACGATCAACAGAACTGACAATTATCCGATAGACTCACCAAAATCATTGAGCTCATTGACCAAACAATCAAGTGGCCTCTGATGGCAGGCGACCCCCTCCATAACTGGGTTGCGGAGTCCTCTCGGCTGGTCATTCTCGGCGATGCCGCCCACGCCATGCTTCCATACATGTCACAGGGCGCCGCGATGGCAGTCGAAGATGGTGCTGCCTTGGCTGTAGCACTCACCAACATCACAAGCCAGGATCAACTTGGACTTGCTTTGCAGGTATTCCAGCAGGAAAGAAAACGACGGACTTCTATGATGCAGGAGGCAAGCATGGTGAATGCCTTTTTGTGGCACTTCAAGGATGGGCCTGAACAACGAGCTCGAGATGCGGCGATGCAGCCCGAAGTTGAAGGAAGAAGGTTTTCTAGCAGTCCAAATCAGTGGTCTGATCCGTTGACGCAGTCATGGGCATACGGATACGATGCCGAGGTTATCATGGAAGAGCAGTGGCGACGGGAGATGACTCGAACGTCTGAGTGCTCGAGTGATTAGGGTGATTAGGGGGATTAAATTAAAATAGGCGTTGTGGAATTGCTTTCATAGAAAGTTCCCACATGGCTATTTAGGCTTATTGAAGAATGTTCGACCTGTATATAATCAGAATGATTTGCGGTGGTCACCACGCAGAGGGAATGTTGATAATTCTACATTACAGCATAGAGAAAGTTCACGTAGTCCCTTTTTGCTGATTTATCCCAAGCTTTCATGGTTCCTCAAATTTGATACATCGAGTGCACGCAAAGAATTAGGGAAGCAACCAGTCCAGTCTCTAGAATTCGGCCGAAGGATCGGGAGGCTCTGTGGCATTCGCAACTAAACTACCAGAAAAGATCCCCAGTCGCAAAGTCATCCATCAGCTCAGACATTGCAAACGGCCCACTAGACGCAGAAAAGTCATTGAAATTTGGTGGGAGAAAGTTCATTAAATCCGCAAAGGCTTCATCCATGCCATTGTTTGTTGGAACATTGACTGGAAGCACTTCCCCAGTGGGAGGGATCACCTGAATTGGGGCATCCGGGACTATGCCATTGTCTCTGGCCGGAACTGCTTGGTTGTTAGCTGGATCTCCCCGATACTTTTGATAGATCCTACCTGTTGAGAGGCTTTGCACAAGGAAGATCAAGGTCGCGGTGAACTTGGCACACTTTTCGACCATTTGGTTTTGCTTGTCTAGCCGTGCTATGCAATTCACCGCATCCTTCAGCACCTCGTCGAGGCGCTCAGTGGCGTTGGAGTAGCTTCGATCAAACGGTGATGGTGAGGATCTTTCCTCGATCAATTTAATGGCAACAATCGTCAACGCCGCGTTGAAGGCTACGAGAGAGCATTAGATGGATTCTTGGTCAGGGAGGAAGTACGCACTGAAGTAAAGACTGAACCACCAAGCCCCAAGATAGGAAATGGTTGGTTGCTTGTCACTTGAAGACTTGCAAGCTTCAACAAGGCGGATGATGCTTTCCGCAGACTGAAGACATGCGTCCTTGCTAAGGTACCATCCTTGTTGAAGGGTAGCCGTCTCTTGATCTGTCTGCGGAATTCCGTCAAGAGCCTGCAGGCAGCGATCTAGGATGGGCCTATGAGACAATATGTGCAGGTTGTGGTACCGAAGAGTCAGGATAACTCGGAACTTGAGTGATATTGGACTTTCCGCTGGGTCACATATCTCTGAAGGTTCAACAAGCCGCATGGACGTTGGAAGTGATGCTTGCCAGGCAGCTAGTTTCTGTCCAGTGTGGATCACGGTCGACACGATATTCGCCGGCGGAATTGGTGTCACGCTAGAGCCAAGGTTGCTCTCGTAAAGTTCATCAATGACCGAGGCCGTAACACCATACAAAGTCCTGTGGAACTGGTCAGCCACCAAATCAACTTTTGACAGAGGTATAGTTAGCAGCAATGGCGTACAAAGATCCGTTCCAAAAGAGAGTGCTGTTTTCATTTTGAGACCATCGAAGAATCTTGGAGTTGTCTGGATATGGGATAAAGTGACTCGGCTGAGGTGTGCGAATGTAGATTTGTGGAACGATCGGCGGCCTTCCAAACGTTAAGCTCAATGTCCTATTGCAGCATGAGAGAGAGTCGATAGCAGCAGCGTTGAATCAAGAAGACAAACCTATCGAGCGCAACACACCCATACCATGTACGGATTCTTATTTCTCTTTCCAATGGATCGAATCTCTGAAGAGCAAGCTGGGAGTGGAGCCCCAGTTCCATTGCGGCCTTGACTGCAATCCCATGAATGGCCCATGTTTGGATAGACCGTTGGCTACCCTGTAGATATTGAGACATCAAAAGCATAACTTGAACTGAGCAAGCAGTCAGTGATGGTCCATGCCTCGGTCAACTAGGGCAAGAGTGGCATCATACCTGCTTCGACATTGGCTGTGGCGCCCATCTGACTCATCGAGAGCACCTTAGCACGCCTGTAGTAGACCTCTGAGATGGCTTGTCTATCGTTCAGCCCGAGTCCGTCTGCATTAGCTGTGCTTGTCGCCATAGCAAGAATCATGTTCAATAGTGAAAGCCATGAATGTCTGGCATTCTTCAACCCTGTCGCTCGGAACTGTGTGTAGTTTTTCCAAAAGCTGTCTTCGTGGACATAAGGAAACAGAAGTCCAGTGTCGGAGAAGAACTGGCGGATGAGACGTGTTAGTTCTGGCTCGGGTGGAAGACGGCTCGCTTCTGCGGGTGTCTCTAGTTTCCTATAGTCGTAAGAATCGTCTATGGGGGATTCTGATCTGGAAACAGCAAGAATGTGTTGCTGTGCATCTCGATCAGGCGAGACAACCCCGGGTTGTTGACTTTTCTGCGCATTGTGAAGCAAGTGGCTCAAAGTCCGACGGATGACTCGAGTGAAAGCAATGTTGGATGATGGGCCTAGAATACAATAAGGTCAGTAAAGGCTGAACTGACAAGGTCACGAAAACAGCGTGTTAGTAATGACAGCATCATACCAAAATAGGCCCACGTCTCCTCATTGCCGAACTCAATAGTGCCCACCCCATCTGTGGCATCTGGGGATATACCGGGCAAACTTCCGTCTTCGACGTGAAGGGAGTCTTCCCCATAAGGGCTTTCAGATGGATGGTCGCGACGCGACGAGGTGCTACGCGAATGAATCACGTGTTGTTTTCCACTGGGGGTCGCGTTGGGGACGAGTCGTTTCAGCCGGCCAATTTCCTCTTCGACATCTGCTAGTCGGTTTTCGACTTGCTCGAGGTATCTAGATTGCAGATTGGTTATTCCATTCTTCACACGGGGTTCCTTAGTGAGACATACTGTTTGGGCACCAGAGCGTTGCTTGGCCCAGAGTTCACAGCATAGACACAGTCGATGGCTTGTTCAACACATGCCGAACACGACGGTCTCGCACCGTCGCACTTTCACACACAGATTCCATGTTAGCTGCTAGGGACCACTAGAATGGCCATTATAGGCCAGCGCCGAGAATCATCTCCGTTGATCGATTAGGGCAGGTGACTTACCCGTGACTTGCGGGCCCGACAAGCACTGCAGGCGATCGGAATCCGCTTCCGCTTCCGGACGTTTGCGACTGGAGGGGTGAGGTTCTCCATCGGCTGTATCTGCTGCCTTTCTGCCTGCAGAATCTTCTTCGCTGCAGAGCTACGGACACGATAGAGGCGGGGATTTAGAGAGAAAGATGTCGATATCCCCGGAAGGGGGAGACGTTGTGGGCGGGGAGTTAGGGATCGCCAAAGCTTGTGTCCACCTAAGCCACAGTTTGTGAGGTGGCTCGAGACGTTTAGCGGAGCTTTGGGCGTCAGTGCTGAGAGCTGCCAGCCATTTTCGCTCGGAGATAGACTAAGTCCCCCGGATACCCTGGAGTTTCACTTGTTACCAGCCTCGGAGAGCTTGGAACAAATCGCATCTGGCGACTGCAGCAACAGCAAGGAGAAAGGCATTCTTGATCGACGTTCATATTATGGCACGTTGTGACTCTGTGATAATCTTCGTCGAAGGTTAAAGACCCAGTCCGCAATCGCCTCATTTGCCAACAGACCACGCACGCGCAATCAGATCGCAATTATGTCTTCTACAACAGCAACCGAGACTTACACGCAACCCAAGCCAGCCGAGGATGAGACGGCCAGGATGCTGCAGGCAGCTGAAGCCAGCCACACAAAGCCGCTGTGGCTTCAGATGTCAAGATTGAATCCACCTCTGCCAAACCCAAGATGCACACCTTTCCTTTGGAAATACTCAGAAATTCGCCCAACTCTTTTGCAAGCCGGGCAACTTGTGAATGAGCACCAAGCCGAGCGCAGGGTTTTGATGCTTGTGAACCCATCTCGAGGTAAGAGAGCCGAGATTCGCTCCGTCGGGCGCAGCTGACTTGCACACTAGATGCACCCTTCACGACTGATACAATCTACGCTGGGCTACAGCTAGTCATGCCCAATGAGACAGCAAAAGCCCATCGTCATACCGCCTTTGCAATGCGATTCATCATTGAGGGCCAGGGCGGCTTTACTGCTGTTCATGGTAAGCGTATCCAGATGAATCGTGGAGACGTCATTTTGACCCCCACGTGGAACTGGCACGACCATGGAAAGGATGGATCGGGACCAATGATTTGGCTCGATGGTCTTGACTTGCCCAACTTCACTCATTTTCCGGTTCATTTTGTTGAGCATTTCTCGGCCCCTCGTTATCCCGCCGAGAATGTCGACACCTCCCAATCGCCCATTGTCTTCCCATGGAGCCGAATGAAGGCTGCGCTCGACTCTGAGGGCGGCGACTTTGCTACAAGTAGATACTTGCATGCCGACGGGTCTGAAGGTGCGTTAAGTTTTCCTCTAGCCTCAAACCTTTGAACCCGACTTCTTTACTTACGCCGTGTTAGTGAGCAAGATCCTGGGAGGGAAAGCCGCCCGCATTGCACCCGGTGCGAAATCACCGCTGGTTCAAGAGACTGCGTCTTCAGTGTATCACGTTGTTGAGGGCTCTGGACACAGCCGCATCGGCGATCAAACTTTCCAGTGGAAAAAGGGGGACACTTTTTGTATTCCTTCATGGTACCCCTACCAGCATTTTGCCGACCAGGGACTGCAAGAGCCGGTTTACTTGTATCGGTTTGATGATTCGCCCATGCTCAAGAGCTTAGGGTTCTATCGTTCCGCCGACATGGATATAGAGAGCTTGGTATCTGCTTGAGCGACCGACCATAATGGCTGTCTGTGTTAGAGAGTGAACCGGCAGCAGAATTCTGTGTAACTAGAGCTGCTTGGAATGACAAAGATTTGGCCAATTACAACAAAACCGCCAGTGGAGGTGAAAGAGTGGCATGGTTTTTAAACAACTTCGCCCCGTACCCATGATTCACAAGGCGTTAAATAACGAAGGGTTTGAATGTTGAACCATCCCCCTCCACCCTTTTCTGTACATTTTAAACTTTTTTTGGTGCATTTTCTTTTTCATTATGAAAAGCAACTACCAAAACTCCATGCAAACCGTGTCTAGTCTCAATGTCTACAACGCCGTTATCAACATACTCAAGCTGCTCGCTACCCTCTTGACCTCAATGTTCCAAGGGAACAGATCAAGCGAGACTAGCAGTCTTACGAATGATGGCTTCGCTGAAAAAGTAGACGGGGATGACCAGCAGATAAAGCGCCCACAGAACACCTGCCATAATGCCAAATTGCTTCACAGGGCCCATTTGCTCCATCCAAGTGATGGCAGCATAAGACACACCGAAACCGACACAGTTCTTGATCAAGTTCACCAGAACTCCAATGTGACTGGCCCGAGAAGGCATAGTGTCAACGGCATACGTTAGCAAAACGTTGGCCGAGCATGTCAACCCCGTAGCCAACATTCCCCAGCCGACACTCACTGAAACCCAATTCTCTGGAGAGTTCAAGCCGTATCCAATCACAATGCACCCAGCAGGGCTGATGATTCCACCAATGATAACTGCCGGCAGTCTAGAGGCCGGGTTCGGCATATGCTTGTTTTTCCTGGCTGCCTTGCCATACAAGAAGTCCGCTAGAGCACCGCCGATTGGAAGTCCTATCAGGAGACCAAGTAGACTTCCAACACTAAGGAGGCCTACGGGGCGAGCTGTCCAAAGCATGGGTGGTTGTGCGTAGACAACAGCCACGAGGATGGAAACGAGAACAGTCCAGCCGATCGTGAACCCGAAGACCAGGGTGGTGATCAGAACCTGCGGGGCCACAAGAAGCTGCACTGGCTGAACAAAACTGGTCATTGCGAGTTTCCAGTTCATGTCGACATAGGCGCCAGTAAAGGATCTGAGCCACCATTGTCTTTTGGTCGACAGGATCTCATTCCCGGTTCTCTGACGAGCTTCTTCGACTTCCGTACACTTCAAGTTGGAACCTAAGCGCTTGATATTGTCCTCATTGTCGGTTGAGACCTCGATAGGTGTTTGATCGTCGATCCGTGTTTCCGGAAGCATTAGGAGCGATCCTAGGAGTGTGACGAAAATGAGGGCCGCGAGAATGCGGAAGTACCATCTCCAGTCATTCACTCCCTCGGCCACAACTCCAGCGACAATTGGTCCCAAGCTCGAACCAGCGGCCAGGAGTCCAACGTAGACCACCATGGCACTAGCCAATTGGCTTTCTGGGAAGGTTTCCGCAACGATGCTTGGGCCTAGAGCCTCGACGAGGCCACCAGCTAGACCGCCTAAAATTCTTGAAGCTCTGAGAGAGTTGAATGTCGGTGCCTCGGCACCCCATAGGCAGAAGGCGAGGAAGAATAATAAGGATATCAGGATCGTGTAGCGTTTGCCGATCAATGAGGCGGCCGGGAGTGCGAGTATATTCTAATGATGGGCTCCGTTAGTCTCTGTGTCTTCTCTGTATGATTATGCTGCATGGAACTTACCGACAAACCAAGGGTCAGGAGTACGTAGGTTGACAGTTGCGATGCTTCTTCAGAGGTACAATGAAGCTCTTCGATAATCAGGGAGAACAGGGGAGATACCCCAGCCGCAAATGCATTCCCCAGAAGGTTGTAAAAGCTGACGTTGAGGAGAATCCAGATTCTCCATGACAATGGCCAATGCTGCGTGCGATTCTAAATTAGTTTTCATAGTTTAAGCAGAGGTCCGGCGCGATGAGTTACAAAGAAGGAAACCTACCATCACCGAGGAGCTAGTTATGGGAATATCAGACGACATTTTGCTCAGCCTTTGAGGATTGAGACTGATTTTGCGATTCAAGATAGCGAGCAAGCCAACCTCTAATTTTGCATAGTCTCTCAAAGACTAGGTTATCAACAGCTGCGTGACGCCTTGTTTAACGACATCGTGGACCATCGTATTTACAATCACCTATCACTCTACCAACAATACACTTCCCAATAGGACACGTACTATTGGCCTCGAGGTAGCTATCGGGGAGATAAGTCTGAAGTAGTGCTCGGGGAGAAGCTCCAAACCCCGGATGTCACCCCGCACACGCGCCGGCCCGTGCCCACTCTGCAGCGCGCGGCAGATCGTAATCGGGCTCGGAGTATGGGGAACTGCGGAGACGCGGGGTTGTAATGCATTCGACCGGGCATCCCGTTGGCTGTGTCATTTATTGACGGCCCTAGGTGCGCAAGACTGCTGCATCATGGATCCACTGTTATCAATATCCTGCAGGTTTCAAGGAGCAAATCTTGGCTACGCTGCAGTAATTTCGAGTCACAGGAGATCTAAACCATGGTTGTCAGTCAGAAACCCAGTCCAGGTTACAATCAGTACTTCCTTCCCGAAGAGGATCTCCAGTACTTACCTCCATACCTTCGTGATGTCCCCGAAACAACTACGGAGACTCAGTGCACTACTGCGGGCACATGGCCGTCATGGCTGAAGGGCACATTTGTTCGGTTAGTCTATGCGAAGGTTCAAGAAGAAGATAGACAAAGGACTTTTCTGACGGTGAATACAGAATTGGGCCTGGACGTTTTACTGTCCCGTTGTCTGAAGATGGTTCAAAGCCTAGAGCTATCATTCAGCATTTCTTTGACGGCCTCGGGATGCTTCATAAGTTTCGGATGTTGGATGGGAATGTTCACTATACGAGCCGATACACGTCTGAGGGGGTTGTGAGGAGGGCCAAACGAGATGGCTATCTTTCCACTAATGTCTTCGGTCTCAATCCAAACACGCCTCTTAAGTACACGCAAGATCCGTGTTCGGCACTTCTGGGAGCTCAAGTCAGTAGAGTAGTATTCTCTCAAGTCACTCACGCGCTAACACATTTTTCAGCAATCTCTCTATCTTCCAAACGGGTATATGGAGCCTGATGAGATAAATGTAAACGTTGTTCCTCGCCGTGGGATGCACCTTCCACCGGACGACAATCCACACTCCAAAGGGCCCGAGGCAAAGGATCCCGCGACCGAAGAGGTAAGGTCATGGTTACTCATAACTAAGCATGGCTAACAGAGTGCACCAATCCAGGTCCTGGTCCAGACGGATTTCAACCTCCTTCAAGTCTGCGATGCGCGAACCCTTGAGCCAAAGCGGATGCTCACGTATGCCCAAATCGACCCAGAACTTTCTGGCTTCGGCATTTGCTCTCATCCACCCAAAGATCGC